ACTAATATTATATATATATATATATATATATATATATATATTCCATAAGCCTGACAAGTATGGGAATAATTGCATGTACCCAAGTAGTAGCAAAACTGGAACTTAAGCCCCCTCTCTACACCGACCTAGGCTGTGTATCACACAAACATGCAGAATAATAATAAAATGAAGAAGAAGAAGACAAACGCCATTAATCAAGGTAAAATAATAATAATAATATTCAGAAGAGAATAAAAATAGACAATGTGATGTTTTCCATTGAAGCTTATTTGAGATAATAATATAATCAGATGAGGTGAGCATAAAAGAGAATGACCTAGTATAGACTCTAAACAGGATTGGATGACGAATTCTCAACAGCAACAGTGAAACTTTGAACAGTTTCCATTATAATACTGAGGATTATAGACAGAAGCAATGATGGCTTGTGAAAATCACATCCAATGGATAATGAGTTTCAAGTTCGCAGCAGCCAGATCAACGTATCTCACCACTTTGTCTGGTGCTTCTGCTACTGCTTGAAGGGGCAGAATTCTGACTCGAGTGTTGCACATCAGATCGCGAGACAGACCCACCTTGTGAGAAAATTAAACCCACAGAAGTACCGGAACCATTTCCAGAAGAAGGTATTCTGCCTGAAAAGGATTCCTTTTTGGACCCTGACATGAGTTCAGGCCGAAGGTCTGAAGATGTTGAAGGACCCAATTGAGACAGCAAAGACCCAACTGGATATGGTGTAACTGGCATATCGATGAGAGAAGATGTCGATGGCGTGTATCTCATAGATCCCAAAGGATGATCAAATTTGCACGTGGAGCCAAACTTGCAATGCCCATTTTGCAAATAAAATGCACAAGCTTGTACCCCCTGTTTTCTAGAAAACAAATTAATTAAGAAAATCCCAAAATGAAAAGAAAAAAAAAAAAAACTGCAATTCCGCAACACGTGAGAATGTGCTCAAGAACAATCGATTCTTTCACATAAAACTCATGCTTCAAACAAATAACTTACAACCTTTAATCAGCCAGTGAACTCTAAATACCAGTATAAATGAGTGGAAAAACATAAGAATTGATTAAGCTATAACCATTGCTGCTACATGTGGCTAACTGCCTAACTTCATCGGGAGTAGTTGTATTTGCACATGCAGTGTAATCACAACTCACAGGTGTGCACAACTGCATAGGTTGTTGCATCCGAAGTTTAAGCAGGGCTACCTGAATTCAAAAGGAATAGCTTGTGCTGTTGTGTATTCAATTGTTGTGTGAAATTTTTTTTTTTCTTCGAAATAAGGCAGAAAAATAGTTGACCACGACCAAATTTTACTTGCAACGTAATCATGAATCCAAATTTTTACTGCTGCAGTCCCCAGTTCAGATCCTATTTTTCCATCTCATCCCCCTCAAACATGCAAAACCCAACTCGAGATAGAATTGAAACTACCATGCTACTAATTTAACATCAAGCACGTCATTACAATATTGCCATTTTTATGCGGAAACTGAAAAGCCTTAACCATTACTTCCAAACTGAGTTTCACCAACACCATGGCTTTCCCATGCTGAAGAACCATTCAAAGATGATACCCATATCAAACAGTCATGAGGCGGTAGATTTTATTGTTAAAAAAACATACAACTTTTTTAATTTAAGACATAAATGGAATACAGCAAGTCGCATTAATATCATATTAACTTGAAAAGAAAAATAAAGCAAAGGACAGGTTTTACACTAGAACTGTTAAATTTAACAGCTTAAGCTTTTAGGAAGGTTGCTTTTTGACATGAAATGAGGGCTGTAATGACCAAGTGATCATGAGTTCAATCTTTGCTACACCCATTCTTGTATGTAAGAAGTTGAGTAACCACATACCGGACGTAAAGGAAGTCCGACGGGGCTAAGAAGTGGTCGTGCCACAGTATGATCCTGAGGATGATGATATCGACAAGCTAATCCAAATTTACAGTCCCCTGTTCTCAGATAGTATTGGCATTCTGGTTCACCCGGTCTTTCAGGAAATAATTTTTCCTTCAGGCTGCTTGCTGAAGGACCGGTAGTAGAGGGCAGCGGAGTATATGGTCTAGCAAAAGCTGATGTTGGTGATGACAACTGGGTCACTCCATATAAAGAAGTAGCCCCAACGGCAGGTTGAGCACCAGGAGATGGTACAGGACTTACAGGTGCCTGCATCAATTTAAAAATGTCAGAATAAAGCAACTCCTAAAACTAGAAAAAATTGGCTTTTAAGTACATGCACACAAACATGTCCCTCTTACCGAATAATGACTCCATCCAGGAAATGGAACAACCCCAGGGGAAAGAAGTACAGGACCATAAGCCCCCTGTACATACGAGCCAGGCAATATGGGAGGCCTAGCCACTCTCAAGCTTGTGGAAGCTCCTCCATACTGTTCAGGCAGAGGAACTGTAGGAGACTGCACCTGTTGATAAAATTGAGGCGCAGATTCTGGCATCGATGTGCCAGCAGGTTGAGGATGATGGAATTTACACGATACACCGAATTTGCACTGCCCCGCTTTCAAATAGTAGGAGCATTCTTTCTCACCCTGTTTAAACAAAAAACATGGTTTAACATCACATTATTTGCTGTCAACTACGTGAGGGAAAAGATCAAAGGAAGTGTCATCATCATACCGGCCGTAACGGGTATCCATAAACATTTAGTGGAGCTTGGCTTAAATATCCACCTCCGTTTTTAGGATGGTGGAACTTACAGGATGCACCAAATTTACAGGTTCCAGTTTTGATATAATACTGCTCATCAGAAAGACCAAGTATTAATATAACCACATTAAATTGAAAAGATAAGAAGCAATTTCTGGACTTCACATGGAAAATCTTTAAAGGATGGGTAAAATAAGATACCTGACATGGGGGTTCCCCCACCCGTTCTGGGTAGTCCCCTGTAGCTCTTACTGCCGCAACAACCTAAGCCATAGTTGACTCAATCGAATCAATCCATATGTTTACACACTTTAAGCAATAAAATGGAATAAAAAAACTAGCGATCAACATTCTTGTAATCCTTTCGGCTTCATGCAACACAAAAACCAATTTATCCTCTGAACTGGATTCTCACTTTCACATGATACTCCCCATTAAGAAAGCCAAACTCCAATTCCCCCTTCCATGCTAAAAACATCTTAAATATGCAATTAAGTGAACATCCAGAAAAAACACCCACCGTCAACACCACGGGCAAAAAAGGCATGCAAATAATGACCACTACCAAAACCAACATCACCAACACTCTTGCATGCATGGAATTCTAACATAATGCAGACATCTCAAAGCGATGGAAAGTGTTACCGCAGCACGATCACGAGGATGATTGTAACGACACCTGCTGCCATATCCACACATCCCAGTCCGCATATAATAGACACAATTGGCGACACCGGGACGCTCCGGGTAAGATTCGCCGCCACCTAGCGCCAAATGCCACATGGATTCTACACCAGCACCACCAAAATCAAAACCCTAGTTAGAAACCAGAAAGAAACCCTTGCACAGGCATAACCTAGCTTCTGCACTAAGGAAGCCCTAACGCAATGGGGAAAAGGGCATGCAAACCTTCGAGGCCAGTGTCGGTGGCCGGTGAGCGCCATTCGGGTTGGTTCGGCGGGTTGGATCCATTTCTGGCGGGGCTCCGACCGTACAAGTCCATGGAAAAAGAGTAACTGTTTGGCTGTGCTGATCACTTGAACTGAAGAGTAGCCTTACTACTAGAATGTTCTGGAAGATCGGAGAGTTCCTGTTGCAAACCCGAGAGACAGAGACGGGGTTTGGTTTTCACACTTTCACTGTAACAGAGCGTGAGTTGGTGAGTGTGTGTTTTCTTTCATTTCTCTCTCTTCTAGGACTGTACGGTAATCTGATGTGGTGTGTTCAACTGTGTTGCGCTTTTCAGCTCGATTTTCTTTTTCTTTTTTTTCTTTCTTAATACGCTTTATTCTATTAATTTTTGGTTTTTCCTTCATCGTGAGTCGCGTACCCGCCAAATAGCGCAAAATGTTATGTTTCGCGGAATATCATCGTTTAATACCAATTAAGGACTGCTAAATTAACATGTAACCGACACTCGTCGCTCCCCGAATGACGCAAATGTCCTTCGTTTAGTGGCTCCAAACTTGTGCTCAGAGACGAGACCCGTTATTACGGTTATATAGTCCCGGAAGATCGGTAGGGCAAATCGGTCATTTACTTGTACTTTACAACTTTTCGATTTGTCCACCCAAATTAGGAGTCGGTTGTTTTTTCTTTCCATTTTTTCTTCGTCAAGTACCATTAATGAAATTTTAATTTACTAGATTTTGAAACTTTGAGTATAATATTATATCTTAAATTTATTGATTTAATTAATTTGACAAAAAGATTGTTTTTATTTTTTTGTTAATTATTTTCTGATAATAAGCTATAATTTATTTTATCGAGTCGGCTTTATAAAGAAAAAAATTTAGATACAATTAATTGGTATTATTCTTGAAATTATAGTTTTAACTCAATAATATACACTTATATTTAAGTAAATTTATCATTTTAAATAGAAAACAACATTAGTTATATTTAAAGTAAAACAAAATTTTTATTCGTAATTTTGTGTTTAAGGTAGTGATTAAATTTGATTAAAAAATACAAGTACCGAACTACTTAAATTAACAACATTTAATTTTATTAATATTAGACAAATAAAATACATAAAATAATATTATATGAATTATTACAAGTATGTCATCACTCTTTTATAAATGAGTATTATGATATTAGTATTTTAAATTAGTTTTTCTTTATGAATTTCAATTTCAGAATTTAAATTAATTATTTTTGTTCTTTTATAAAAAAAAATCATTCATAGACAATCATGTGAATCAATTGATATGAGATTGTTTTAGTTTAAGCATTGATTTCAAATTCAAATTATGTACGGTAGTTATATTAAATACTTTGAAGAAGAAAAAACTTTGTCATTCATAATAATAAAAAATATATAAAATAAAATAATTCTCATGACATATGATATAAAAAAATATTCTCATAATCTATACTAATATAAAGGGGATACCCTTTTTAGTAACTATCTTGATCTCCACATTTGATAGACTATTATATCCTTTTATTATTAAAAAATTTAAAAAATATATATATATATTTATATATCCCAAGACTCAAAAGTTGAATCATCAAATATTAGTTATTTATTTCATTTTTATTTAATTATTATAAAAATACGAAGTGTCTTGATCTTACTAATACAGGATAAAAAAAATACTTACACTAATATTACTTAATGATTAAAAATAAATTTTACAATGACTAACATATCTAATTAAATTTAATGTATTTTTTATATGTAATTATAAATTACATTGTTGTGAAAAAACATAATTAAATTATTCACATTAATAATATTTAGTTATATCACCCTTTTAATGCTTCTTATTTTTTTTACACGGTGGGATAAATAGCAAAAATATTAAGATATTATTTGTCTTAGATGTCAAGTACACAACAATATATAATGTATTGCAATTTAATATTCTAATAATTAATTGAAGTAAATAAACAATTCAAAATTTAATCCAAAAATGGGAACAAAATTTTAAATTACAACATACTTGAATGTACATTTATGAATGCATATGCACATAAAAATACCTACATATCGTAAAATTTATAATTCTTACTTCAAATTTGATGGTGAAAATAATTATTATATTTAATATTTTTTATATAATATATCACAATATTTAAAAATTTGATTTAAATTGGTTAATTTGACCAAATTTTAGGTATATTATTAGATTAAGTTAAGAGTTGATATGAGTTAATCCTTATTTTTTTTTATATAGTACATAATTTTTCTTTGTGTTGACTCTTGAGATTTGCGCACGTTCTTATTGGTTGATTTGGTGATGATTTAAGACTTGAATTTTGAACTAGCTAAATTTTACTTGATGATCATCAAACTATTAATAGCATAAGAAACATATAATAAAAAAATGTATATACTAAGAATTGAATCATGGTCCAAGTAAGTTAAAAAGAACTTACGATATTTGTGCATGTTCCTATTAATTGAATTGGTAGTGACTTGAAACTTGAGTTACATGTTAATGGAGTTGTTCTTTACTTGACAATCATCACATTATTGATGATATAAGAAAAATATAGTAAAATTGTATATATTAAGAATTAAATCATGGTCCTAATAAGTTAAAAAGGACTCTATTCGTGCACAAAATTAGTGGTGACTTAAAGCTTGAGATGTGTGTTGACTAAAACGCTCTTTACTTGACAATCATCGAACTGTTAATGATGTAAGGAAAGTATAGTAAAAATATATATATTAAAGATTGATCCATGGTTCTAGTAAGTTAAAAAAGGCTTCTCAAGATTTATGCACTACCTATTGGTTGAATTGGTAGTGACTTTAAACTTATGTACTAGCTGGGGTACTTGACATCATCAAAGTATTAATGGAATAAGGAAAAATATTTTGAATATATATATATATATATATATATATATTTAACAAATATAATATATTACTTTTGTCTCTTAATATAACACCTCTCTAACTACCTCTCTAATTAAATTATCTCTTTAAGAAAAATATTTTTTTAGTTGATATTATTGAATTTGTCAATAATTTGATATACTTTTCTAAAAAATACTATAAACATTATTTAAATTTACTTTCTCTCTTTCCACTTTATTACTTCTCATGTAATTAATCAATGTTTAGAAAGAGAATAAGAATAGATTAAACTTTAAACAGTAGTTTATAACTTGACCTATTTAAAATACAACTTAACCCGACCTATTTATTAAAAATGTCAGATTTAGGTTTTTAAAAAAAAGGTTGAATTTTGACATAAATAGGTTTGTTAGGCTTGATAGTGTAATGCCCCGATTTGGTCCTTGCACTGTACAACACAATTACTAGTAGCGAAAAATATCTAACTTAAGACCATAAATATATAAATACCAGAACATGTATTATATTACACACATATAAAAGAAAATCAACTAAATAAATAGATGCAATATAAACACAATAATTCAGTAATGTAAATTATACATCTAAGTTGTCGATCAAGCAACTACACCTCTATACAAATCTACCGTTAGGTAGTCAACAAAACATCCTCTACGACTATTCTCCAGTCTTATCCCTGTCATGCTCTCATGCCACGTATGATCATTGTAATCCACACCACATGAAAACACACAAGGGTGAATTACAGTAAAAAGAAATAACATAAATACATCTAAAAAACATGACATCATCATCTCATCTTTAACAACACAATGACAAAACAACATAATATACAACACATATCAAAACAATACAACTTTGATTCAACATAACACCATAGATCATCTTAGTTCAATATAACATATGAACAACACAATTAACTCAACACATCACATGGTTAACACGATAACTATATGTGTCATCGTGTATTTCAACTAGGAGATCTCTTACAATATATGGTAAGTAATTTAAGTGACTTGATCTTACCGAACTGACAACATAGGATGATCTTTTTAGGCTTGTTAGATCAGTAGCAAAATGGATATAAATTCACAACACAATAACTTAGTTTCTCAGATGTTGTCACTTAAACAAGGAAGCATAATACCAATGTTAGGATATAATAGTTGAGTACAGACCTACCACAACATTAGTTAGCTTAACCAAACCTTCTATGGGATTAGCCCACCGACTACCTTCCAAATATTACAACATTTTGATATTCGATTAGGAATTAAGTTTTTGACTCCGTACTTTACTCGATTGGTCACTTATAATCAGTATAGCTCGACTTAATCCTATATTATGGTCGCTTCATACACGTGTGTCTCGACCTTGCTTACACATGGTACCAACAAAGTCTTGGAGGAGAAACAACACAATATCCATTTTAAGGGTCAACTTTCCAATAAGGAATTTTAACAAATTGGGCTCTCAAAGCTCTACAACACAATATCCATACAATGGAATATACAACTTTCAAAAATATCTCCTCTAGTTCTAAGTGGTCAACACAACTCAACAACACATCAACTTATTATAGTTTCAACCAACAACAAAATCAACACACAACTTTGCAACTCACATCTCAAATTCAACACAACTACACAAATAACATTCAATTTTGTCAACACAACTCTTAACTAACAACTCACAACAAAATCATCATATACTACATAATTTCTATAACTCATTCATCATATTATCACATAAAAACTTAAAACATCAAGAAATCAATACTTCATCACCCAACTTGTCATGTTTTCTTTAGAAACTCACCCCGCCACTACTCACCTTGTGCCCAGTGTCATCTAGGTAGGGAGTTCTCTGTTTCGTCTACGCTTAGTGCTTCACAACCCGTGCTTGACGTGGCCAAGGTAGAGGCCTTTAAGGCCTCACACCTGACGTAGTAAAACTATACGCCTGGTCCCATCTCAAGCAGAGTCTTTGCCTAAGTCTCGCTCAACGTCACCACCTCAACGCCCCACAAAATCCAGACAAAGAGTTTTGGCTTGGCCATGCTGGGCGCCACACAACATTAGGCACAACATCACCACGTCATAGAGTTTTCAAGGTATTAATGTCTAATGTCACTTAACCACGCCTAATGTCATTCCAACCCAAGACGAGTCTCTCTCTTCACGTCCGGCATCACCAGTCCTATGCCCCACATGATCGAGACGAAGTCTCAAGCTAGAATAACGCCCAACACCTTGAAGGTGCACCCGACGTGGTATCAGAATTCTACATATGCAAAACCTAATTTCAAGCCAAAAGTTGAAAAAGCAACAAACATCCAACACATGCAACAAATGATTATAGTCAGCAAGAGTAACTCAAATTCAATTAAAACACCAACATGCAACAACAACACATAAGAAATCACCATATTCTTTCTTAAGAACCCAAACCCTAACTTTTAACACCCAACACTCTCTACTTTGATCCGCATTCAGCCACGAATTGAAATGAATTCATGCAACATACAACCAACACAGCTTTCAATAGCTCAACAACTTTATAAAAGCAAAAATCTAACATCCCTTGCCTAAGGTAGCTTAGTTTCGAGGTAGAAGAATAAAAATAACATCAAGAATCCACAACACAACTCCAACAAAACCAACCACATGAATTTGACTACTATTATCTTGAATCCAACAACAACACAACTTAAATGAGAATCAGAGGAAGAAAAGGAGAAGATTGAGAGAAAAAAATGATTCACAGACCAAAGATATTCTCTTTAGAAAGTTTAGAGAAATAAGTTTACAAGACTCTGTTCAAACAAAAATCTTATATACTTTTCCTTCTAAGATCAAACTAGATCTATGTTTAAATAATTCCCTCTTAACACTAGTGAAACTCTAAAGGGATCTTCAGACCATCGAGTCTCCCAATATTGACAACTCAACTTAACAACACAAAATAATTAGGGGTAATATAACACTATCGCAACTTATAGTGTTATAAATAGGCCAACATATTTATCTATATAATAAAATAATAAAAAATAATATACATATTAGATTATTAATAATATAATTAAATAAATAAATTTGTAATAAAAAATGAATTATAAATACTTTTTTTGACATTTTCATCGATTTAATTAAATGTTTTATATTCTTTATTCATACAAAATGAAGAAATAAAAATAATTTTTTTAGAATATTCCAAATGGTTTTATGTATAAAAATGGAGTTCATATATAAGTATATTAATCACATTTTTTTTATTGATTCATGAGGTTTAACTAGTGACTAACTAGTTCTATAAGTGGCCCATTGACCAAGTACTTTTATCGAGTTAATCACTATTTTGAGTTTTAAAACATTGATATATAATCAATCTTTATTGTTAAAACATGATTTGAACAATTTTTTTTATATGAATTCACACATGTTGTGATTAATAAACTTAATTACACTTTTTACCACCAAAATCTTATGATTTTATAAATTTTATCACTTAATTTTTAAAATTGTAAATTTTTCCACTTAACTTTTAAACTTTGCATTTTTTATCACTAAATTAATTAACTATATATATATATTATTATTATTAATTAATTGTTAACATGTTATATAGATTACCAATATGATATGTTAATCATTGATATATCTTGTTGATTGTTAATGTAACATATTGTGTTATGTTAGATCATAAATTCGTTGTTCATATGTCACATCTATGTTCTATGTAAATAATTATAATGTTACATCAACAATCAACTAAAGATAATAAATATACAAATTTAAAAATTAGGTGATAAAATATATATTTTAAAAGTTGTGTAGTAAAATCTGCAAAAATAAATGATAAAAAATACATTGAAATTTAATTAAGACAGAAGTCAACGAGCTTTATATACACCTTGATATGCCATTGAATAATATAATGTAAAAGTGGTTGATTCTCAATAATTATATTTTGATTGCACAACCATTTTTTTTCCTAACATTTAATCTTTCCGTGCAATTCATCGTAACTATACTAGAATGGTATTAAATATAAAGTTAACTAATCATACCTATTCCAAAGATTAATTAATTAATTAATTTCAAATTTTCATAATTAATTTTATGTATAAATCTTAAAGGTGACTTTTTTAATGTCTTTCACATCGAATTCTCTAATTAAATGACAGGTATTTTTTAACAATAAAAATCTCCATCAAATATACACAATTTTTCAAAATGAAAATATTTTTAGTAAAAAATTAAACACTAATTTTTTAAAATATCGAGTTAAAAGATTTTATTTAAGAGATTGATTATTTAAAAAAAAATATTTTCATATGTATATATATATACTAATAATGAATTAAATTTCTAACCACATAATTAAATCACAAAGTTATTTTCGCACATAATTTTAAACAAACATCTATTTATGCATATTTTATTAAAGAAATTAATGATAAAAAGTTGACCCGATTTTTATTCTGTTAAAAATATTTCTTTTATTAATCTTAGTTCATGTTACACCGAGTGAACAAGTGAAGATTCGCTCGACATGTGGCATGACTTCTTTTCCCGGTGACACGTGTCCTCCCTGCACATTTGCGTTACATCGACGATGTGAAGATGAAACTTGAAAGTTGAAATTGAAGTTCCGATCGAACACCTGAAATTTGGAAATCAAGCAAACCCTAGTTAATTTTAGAATTGGAAGAAAAAGAGCATGCGGTTTAGATTGAGAAATCTGAATCCCATATACCCAACATGCTTCACAAGGCTTTCCTCTTCAAAATTTCCCCCTTTGGTTTTTGAATCGCTTAATTCCTATCCATTTGAGTCTAATTTAGCCGAAAATCCCGCATTCAAAATCCAAAGAAGATGGCATTTGGGTCATTCCCACCACGATGACCATGATCATCACCACCATTACCATAAAGAGGGAGAGAAAGTTTTCAAGTTGGGTCTCGCCGCCGACATCGGTTTAGCCACCGGAAAAGCCATCACCGGCTATCTTTCCGGCAGCACTGCCATTATCGCCGATGCTGCGCATTCCGTATCTGATGTGGTAAGTGGTAACTCTCACACTCACTTCCTAAGTGGAACTTGTCGTGAAACAATATTCATTGACTCGTTGTTTGTGTCGCAGGTTCTCAGTGGCATAGCTTTGTTGTCTTTCAAGGTTGCCAAGACGCCTAGAGATAAAGAACACCCATATGGTCGCTTGATTTGTACCTACACGCTACTCCATTTATCTCTTGTGCATCAAGTTACTGTTTATTAGATATTACGGAATATGGATGCTAACATTTCATTTATCACTACATGTAGAATAGGAGTTGGTTGAATATAATTGGATTGCTTGTGTTAGTTTACATATAATTTTAAGAGAAAATTGCACTTACCTTCCTTGAGATCTGCTTGAATGATACTCACAGGCTCTAATCTTAAAATAACCCTCATCTCCCTTAGACAGCCTTAAGAAGGGATGCGTGTCATTTTATTAAATAAAATAAGGGATGTGTATGTCACGTTATTAAATACACAGGGGAGGTAAGTGTAATCTCCCTAATAAAAACAATAATCACCTAATGCTCTTTTGTTCTGTTATTTTGTTGCAATTACATTAGACTAACGCTTGCTATTTGTTTGTTGTTTACTAAAAGGTTTATGCGTCATTTATGATTATATTTCTGATTTCTCCGGCATTGTATCTCAGGACATGGTAAATTTGAGACACTAGGAGCTCTTGGAATCTCTTTCATGCTTTTGGGGACTGGAGGTGGCATTGCGTGGCATGCTGTAGATCTTTTGATGGTATTGAAATTCAAACTTTGTTCTATTTGTTGCTTCACTTATTCCCATGAACAGTTTGATTTAAAGAAACTTTGATTGAGCACTTTGTTAGACTGAGTAAGTAAAGTAGATATTTTGTCATCTTTTCAACACTTAGAAGTCACTGTTGTACACTTGCAGGGATTGTTCTCATCTGGTCCGGAAACGGTTAGCCAAGCATTGGCACACGGACACGGGCATAGCCATGGACATGATGGACATCACCATGGAATTGACATGGAACATCCTGTCCTTGCTTTGAATATGACTATCGTGTCAATATGTGTTAAAGAAGGGTACTACTATTACTTAATATTAACTCTTACCAGATTGAGGAGGTCCTAGTATTCCTGATGCCTATTCTAGTTACCTATGCCCTATGTCACTATTTTAAATATGCTGAATTTGACTAATCCTTCATTGGGTTGTATCTGATAGTTTTCCACCATGACAGTAAGATACAGTGCAAAATTACAAATCAATAAAGTTTATGCAATCTCAAGTCGATGGGAAAGATACAAAAGGAAAATTACTAAATATGTTGATGCCTATTCTAGTCACCTATGCCCTATGTCACTATTTTAAATATGCTGAATTTGACTAATCCTTCATTGAGTTGTATGTGATACTTTTCCACCATGACAGTAAGATACAATACAAAATTACAAATCAATAAAGTTTATGCAATCTCAAGTCGATGGGAAAGATACAAAAGGAAAATTACTAAATAGGATACCTTTAGAGAATAATGTTTAATTGAAGAATACCTGGAAAAATTAATTAAGCTATTGTTATAGTTATGTTAGCTCATGCACTTTTGTTTCCTAGGGATTGTGTCCCCATGACCTTAACTCCTTGACTTTTCCTCACCTGAAAAGGTCTAAATTGAATCTCTTTACTTTGGATGGGCTTCTAACGTAAGAAATTTGTAATTTTAAGCTCCTTTTTTTTTTTTTTTTTTCATTTCCTTTTCTTTTATCGATGGTCTCTATGCTATGATTGATACATGCATTACTAGGCTTTGTTTCTTCTCCAAGATTTAAGTATCTATATTTGCTTTTCAAATCTGCAGGCTTTACTGGATAACAAAACAAGCTGGTGAGAAGCAAGGTAGTGGACTAATGAAAGCAAATGCATGGCATCATCGTGCGGATGCTATTTCATCAGTAGTTGCTCTCATTGGAGTTGGTAAATAACTTGTTTATTTGAAATGTTACTAAGTTTGGTATCGAGTAGAAAGTTCTTTAATGCTGGCTTCTAGTACAAGATATGTCGTCAATCAGGTTCACTTGCTTATAAGGCAATTATAGTGGCTTCTACAGTAAATTGTCATAGTATCTTAATTGTTAAAAATATAAACACTATCTGAAATTGCCATCATATTTAACTATCTAAGACCTGGTAGTTATATTTTTTAGTAGAATCCATTTTTAGCCCTTGAAATATATTTAATTCAATTAGTTCTTTAAGGAATAATTTCATAATTTGATCTCTTCAACTCAAACGTCAAATCCCCTATAATTTAGTTCCTCCATCCATTTTGGTCTAACATGATTTACATGAAATGCTGATCGTAACAGCATCATAATACTTGAATATTATAGACTAATATTCAAATCATCAAATACAAACCTCAAGATTTTTGTTAATGGTTTTGGACTAAATGGATGGACAAACTAAATTATTAGGGGTTTGAGTGATTAAATTGATAAAATTAATTCCTAAGGGAGTAAATGATAACTGGATATTTCTGTCAGGACTAAAAATTGGCTTAATTTTTTTCCCCATATTTATAATGACTGCTTGCTGTAAGACCCTAAGCCTCTAAATAAGTATACTTTTTGAATTGCCTATGCTTTGATAATTGATCCATTTATGTCTTGGGTCTTGCTTACATTTGCTAACCCTAGATTTTCATCTCCATGTTAGGTGGGTCTATTCTTGGAGTGAAGTTTCTAGATCCCCTTGCTGGACTTCTTGTCTCAGGCATGATTTTGAAAGCTGGTGCTGAAACTGGTTACCAAAGGTACCTATATCTGATTCTCTGCAATTTATCATTCCGTGCAAGTTTAACTGATTGGTATCCGGATACAAGGATACAACAGAATATTGAACAAACCTATCTGGACATAGACATGTGCTGGGTACCTATAAATTAGATTATATTTATCTATTTCTTGTTAGATGCATCTAATTAATGTATTGAGGCTACTGTTTTTTCATTTTGGACTGTTCTCTTAATAATGCACATTTGACATGTGTAAATTGTTCGGTTATTTCTTTACTACATACTATATACTAATAAGCCCAACTAAATATGATGGCTTATGCAATGCAACTATTTTATAATTTCAGGCATATAATTTACTACCTCTTTTGTCCATGCTTAATGACATTTTAATTTGGGAAATTATTAAGATAATAGAGAATACAAATGGGTGTAAAGTGACTCAAAATGTGTAACTGATTCTGCGTAATCCAAGGGGGTTGGGAAAAGTTTTCTTCTCCACCAGAAGTATCTATAGGCAGTTTTGATTATGTCCAAACTTATACCTCTAATTTTATTGCTGCTTTTGATCAATTCAATTATCAGTGTCTTGGAATTGGTGGATGCTGCTGTCCCGGCACAACATTTGGATCCTATTAAACAGACAATATTGCAAGTTGATGGTGTCAAGGTGTCTTTTTATCTGACATTCTTTTTAAACATATGATTTCTTTTCCAATTTCATCCTTTTACTCGAAGAAATCTACCAAGTTCTGCTTTGATTTTTTGCGTACACTTTAACCAGGTGTACTTAATGCTGTTTTGGTGTTCTGTATACAATTATATGAAGTTTGGTTTACATTCGTTTCATTTCTTTGTATTTTTTTTCTTTCAATTTCTACGTTGCAGGGCTGCCATCGTTTAAGAGGAAGGAGAGCTGGTTCATATCTGTATCTTGATGTACATATTGAGGTTAGTTCTCCTGAATTTTTTATTCTTTATGTCACATGTTTTATGTGTCGGTTTTCAGGGTTTATTTTTTAGTTTTACCTTGTAGGTTGATCCTTTTTCTAGTGTCAGTGCTGCACATGACATTGGTGAAAATGTTCGTCGTCAAATTCACAAGTCTCATCCTACTGTGGTTGAAATTTTTATACACATAGGTCTGTTTTATAGTTTTATAAATTTCTCACCTTGGCTATTGAGGATAGTTATTTTTTATCACATTTTTATTATTATTTGAAATAGTTGTTAAAAGACCTTACTTTGTAGCAAGGTGATTCAAATATAATATTCAAAGCTAACTTTTGAATTTTGAATTGCAAATTGCATTGAATTACGTTAGTCACAATGAAAAGCAACTTGAAATATATCATATAAATAACGTATAGCTCTAAGTGTTATTATTTTGACTAGGGATTGACAGAAGTTCTAAAGCATAAACCTCAAACCAAAATCACAAGTTGTATGTCATATGTCATAACTCATAAGTCAGAATAAACAGAGTAATGATATGGCCAGATAAGATGCAGTTTACTTTGTTAAGCCTTTGCTTTAAAAGAGTGAAAAACAGAGTAATGGAATATGACCAGATAGGGGCAGAGAGTGAGTGACAGTGTCGAGCCCATGTTTTACAAGAATGTAAGCTAAGCAATGGAAAATTACTAAATAAAGATATATGAGATTATCATTGTTGGAAATTATATAATGGTAATTGTTCCATTTAGCAAAGTAGCCTACATATATTGTAATGTTGAAGTAGAATTAATTATTTTTATCTTGTAGATCATGTCATAGAGTAATGATATGGTTCCCACTCTTTCATTTGTAGTCATTCGAATGGAAATCATGTCAGCTTGGTAAACAGTTTTAATCTTCTTTCCCATAGTTGGTCTAAATTTCCATTTGAAATTGTTCATTTAGATGTTTGGGGGCCAAGTCGAATTAGTTCTATCTTTGGTTTTTGATATTTTGTGAACTTCATTCATTCATTGATGACTTCTCAGTTCCCAAGATGTACTTGGATATTTTTTTATGAAAGATTGTTTTAAACTGTTAGAAAAAATTCAGAATTTTTGTTTTGAAATTCACACTCATTTTGGATACTCAATTTGCATTTTGTGAAGTGATAATGCAGAGGTGTATTTTTCTGCTTCATTCAAATCTTTTATGTCCTGCCATGACATGCTTCATCAATCTAGTTGCCTACAAATACCACACCAAAATGGTGTTGCAAAAAGAAATCACTGTCATCTTCTTGACATATCTTTCTAGTAATCCAAGCCGGTGTTCCCTTAAAAAGTTTGGACAGATGCAGTTCTTAATGTTGAATACTTTATAAATCACATGGCATTCTCTGCCTTGAATAATCAAGTTCCTCATTTCATCTTATTTTCTAATGAACCAAGGAACAGGATCCCTTTGTGTTTTTTTGGATCTACTTGCTTCGTCTATGACCTGTCTCCAGGAAAAGGCATATTCAAGACTCAAGAAAAGGTGTCAATGTTATCCTGTTTCTTTTCATTGCTTCTTCACTTCTGCTGATGCAATTTGCTTTGAAGATTCCCCAGTCATCACCTCGAAGGAAGAACCTGACTCCATTTGTGTTTGTCCCCATTCCTTATTTCAATTATCCAGCCCCCACTTTTTCTCAAGAAACACCCAGACTATTATGCTTTTTTGACATTTCAACTTATTCTGGCCTAGCCTTCTCCTCCACCTGACTCTTTTGAGTTTTCATCTTCTTTCTTCAGACTATTATGCTTTTACTACTGCTTTGTCATCTGTTTCTACCCTTAAGACAGTCCAGGAAGCTCTTTCCCATCTTGGATGGCACAGGCTATGATTGAAGAAATGCAAGTTTTAGAATCTAACCAAACATGGACATTGGTTTCACAACCTTCAATTAAAAATCCTATGGAGCATTGATGGGTGTTCATTGTCAAAGTAGGACCCAATGGTGCTCTGCACCGTCTTAACTCTTTGAGGTTTGTCTCGTGGCCAAAGGTTTTACAATTTTTTTTGGGTTGGATTGAATTACGGAGATAGCTTCTCTTGTTGAGAAAATAGTCTTTATGCATCTTTTTCTTTCCATGGCAGCATAAATTAGTGGCCCTTACATCAATTTGACATAAAAAATGCCATTTTACATGGAGATGTGACTGAGGAGGTCTACATTGACCAACTTCTTGGGTTTGTTGCTCAACAGGGAGCCAGGATGGGTTTTTAAGCTTTAATGAATCACTGAATGATCTTGAACAATCTCAACATTATGGTTTGGGAGGTTCAACTCAGTTTTTCAGAAATTTGGAATGACTCAAGAGTGAAGTAGATCATTATGTATTATATAAGCACTCAGTTAATATGCCCCTTAATATATTGTAATGAGGTTTTCTGAAATCTAAATGACCTTTTTTATTTTGTCTTTTTTATTTATTTATTGGATGTCATGTGTTCTGCTATTTTTTTTTATCTTTTCAACTCAATTTGTCCTATTATTCATTGTCTTTTGTAGATCCTGCAATGTCTCATGATTCTCCCCGCACAGTAGAAGAGCAAGATAGTTGGAGTGTAGACATTGACCACAAAAGTATTGTTCCTGCTG